TCATTTGATAAGTTGAGGAAAAAGTTTCAGAAGTTATCATGCAGTAAATTCACAATAATTTTACAGCACTAGTGTCGCCACAGTTAAGTTTAAACTACCTATGCAGATCACTGTCCACTAATTTTGAATACGTAAACCCTACATCAATCCGAAAAATGCTCGCCAACGTTTTGCTTAATACGAAGCCAATCATTGCTGCAAGCTTAATGGTTGTTGTTGTGTTTTGTGAAGTGACGAACTTTTTTTTTCTCCAAGTTTAGAAGTGATGGGCAAATATCAGTCGGGAAACAGAAAGGAAAACTATCCGATTGTGATTGTATCCATTGTGTGTCAACTGTAAAAGGTTGTGATGAGGATGTTATTGTATCAGTTGTATTATTTCATTTGGGGTGAGGCCAGTAAAATGTATAGATATCCAAATGCCCAGAAATTTAGAGAAGTAGAAAACAATATAATCCAAGGCAGGAATTTGTGGTCAACAGGCTAACAAGCTGTTCATCAAGGTAATCCTCACTGGCACTAAGTTCGTATGGCACACGCACATTTGGTGCTAGAGTAAACTCAGTAGACGTGTCATAGACTCGTAGACATCAGTTGGATTGCTGACTATAACCAATGCTTACAAAACTCGCACACGTTATAGAAAGATGGCGCTGACGTAATCCATACCAGTTTTTGAAACAACCTACAAGCACGTTAAACTACCAAAACACAAAAGAGTCTTCAGTTCACAGGCTATTTACAATAATATAACTATAAATCATCATATAATTTTTCTATTATTAAGGTCTACAATTATAAGCACATACAAACTGCAAGACTAGACGGGTATGATTGCCCTATAACATTAATGCACAACAAAGGAATCAATTGTACTATAAACATAAGAAAGGGGTGAGTGTCTTACAAGACCCCCCACCACGTGACACCACCTGCGTTGAGCGAGAGAGTTTTCTGTTTCCATCTGCGTCTAGTGAGGAACCTTGTGATATTAGTTGCATGTAGGAGAGACTTCCCCACTATAACATTTTAGTTACCCCCCCCCCTTGAAATCACCTGCTCTTAGTACGAGATACGACCATTTACTTTTTGTTTCACAAAATTGACAGTCCTTCAAAGCAACTCACATTGGTAAGAATGTAGTTAAAGAGTGTTAAACCTTAATCATTTTTAGTATCATTTTGGTGGGGGACAGTTGAAGACTGACAATATTTGTTGTTGAAACAGAAAAAATGTCTACTGTGTAAAAATGCGAATATGTCAGCTTGGTACTCAATGGTAGCAGCGGTTACATACTACTGATGATGTCTGGAATTGTAACACGCTATTATAAGTTAAGTTGGTGTTATGAATTATGAGCACGATGCTTTGTCTAATACTTGCATTGAATACGGAAGGTTAAAAGATATTTGACACATGGCGTGTATCCTTCGGTTAGTGATAAAAAAACATGAAAATTTACATTATTTAGCAATACTTACTTTCAGAACACGCATGACTTTCGAGTCTCAAATGAAAAGAGTTTGAGAACTCGGAAATTACATTGACGACTTGTTTTCAACAACGTAGTATCAAGAAAAATAGGATAAAGGAGGACTACCTTCAAAACGACGGGAAGTGTCGTCAAACATTACATACACTCTGTGATTTTCAAATACTGAACATACAAAAAAAAATGAATCTTTATAATGACAACGTAAGTAAAGTCTTGATTTTTCTTAAAAACGTGACAAATGAGGACTCGCGCACACACACAGATCCAATGAATGACAAGATTATTAAACGTATATAGCTCATTTACCTCGAGAAGTCTTATGAACTCCCAGCATGATGTGTTTTTTACGTTATTTATAATCCACCCTATTCGACTTATTAACATGCTTCTAAGTCGCTTACGAGCATTCGTATTAAGCCTGTTTTAATCATCAGTTACAAATCAGTTATGCAAAGGACAAAGGTTATGTTGAAAATTTGATAAGTGCAGTTAGTTGGGTTATGACGTAATAGATACAACTCGCTTATAACCTGATCACGAACTTAAGTAAAACCTGAAGATCGCTTTAAAAAGCTGCATTTTTCACAGAAACATTTGTCAGAACCCATACAGAGCAAAACCAAAACGCATTCGTTCGTATCTTTATCAACAGTAATTCCTCAGCGTTTTATTATTGATTCATGCCTAATTGTACTTTGAATTCCTTGATCTACATGCTTTAAAAACCAACCTCTGTAAAAATATTTTGAGACTCCTCATTGCCATGAAACTTGGATGCAATATCACGTTGTTATCGATCACGGGATTCAGTTTATAAGAGGGCTTCGTTAAGTTGATAGCTTCTTTAGGCCTCTTCTGATAATAATTTTAATATAGGCATTCTAAAGCCTAATTTATCTAGAATAGTTTAGGTCAGGCATGACTTAGAGGTCAGCGTGTTGAACTTTGAATCCGAAAGTTAATGGTTCGCGTGCCTTTACCACAAAAACGCGCTCCGCATTCTTTTTCACTCTAAACTATGACCTAGTGATTAGCGCGCTAGGACTGTGATTCTGAAGATTCATTGTTCGCGACCCTTTGCCGAACTCTTAAAATTTGGAGCCGTGGGTACGTTATAAGAATGACTATCAAATCCCATTACTCGGTTACATAAGAGTTGACCAAGAGTTAGGAGTGGATGCTCTTGTCTAACGGCTTTCTTTCTAGTCTATCTAAAAAATCTCTTAAAATTCCATACAAGTGGTTTCACTTTAAAAATTTTAAATTTAGGGATATTACAATTAATATTTTTATTAAGATCCTCTGAACTCACTTGTCGTTAACGCTGTCTTTTTTATTAAATCTAATTATGTATGATAAAAAAATGCCTAGAGAGAGAGATTATGAATTCTTTAGTTATCTCTAATAGTTTTTTAAATTCGTTTAGCTATTGACGACATGATATTGCAATGTCTCAATCCTTCTTTTTATATGATATCAGTGTCTAGGTCAGTAATGGAAGTTTTTTTTTTTACCCATAATGTTCTCAGACTACCTCATCGCTTTGACTTTGCAGCATTCCCACGGCTCAAGAATGGATTGTTTGTGCTGTGCCAATCATGGGTATCGAGACCTGATTTTTATCGTTATATACCTCCTGTCTTAGCGCTGAGCCATTGCAGGCTTCAAGAATGAAATTCTTGTTTGTTTGTTTAATTTCGCGCAAAGCTACTCGAGTGCTATCTGCTCTAACTGTCCATAATTTTGTAGTCATAAATTAGATAGAAGGCAGCTACTCAACGCCATCAATCGCCAACTCTTTACTAAACTAAAGCATACTGGGATTGACCGTCGCATTATAACGCCCCCACAGCTGAAAGACCGAACATGTTCGGTGGCGGGATTCGATCCCGCGATCCACAAATTACGCGTCGAGTGCCTTACTCACCAGGCCATGCCAAGCCTTGGAAGTATACAAAGAGCATTCTAAACTATTATCTTCTGTGTAGGTCGTTCAGCTTTATCAAATGCTTTCTTTTTTTTTAATATGGAAGGACATAAAACAACGATATTATTATCAAATTAACTTTATTAAATCCATTTCACATTTAAGTCATATAATCAATGGAGACAGTTTTACTGAAGGCTTCAGTTATTATTAATTACATTAATAAGACGAACATGAACATGTTTACTTTTGGTTCGATAGAACATCATGATATAAAAGTTTTACAGTACAAATACACTAAAATGTATTAACATGTGATGCTCTAAGTGAGCCACTGACTTTAGAATAAACATCCCACTTCACCCCCCACACATGCTAAATGGTAATGCTTTTGTTCATTGTCCTTGTTATGCAGGAATATCATCACACACAAAAATTAGTTTTGTATTCCTTTTTTACAAGATTAGATACAGGAAAAAAAGGTAACTATTTTTTATGTAATGGGCATTCAAGAAGAGGAGCCTTTTAAATTAATGCGCCAGACTTAGTATTATTTTATTGAGAACATAAAATCATACATATACAAATACAGAAAGAAAGAGTGCTTAATAGCAGTAAATGTCTACTACATTCTCAAAAATCATTCTTAAATTAAAACTGCATCACCGGACGATTGCTTTTTGTGATTGTTTGTGTGCGTGTGTGTTTGATGCATTACCGTCTCCCCCCTAAACACTACTGCTTATACAACTAAGTGGCGCACGTTGTTAAACTGACGTTACGCCTACCTGGCTTCTGGCTTTCGTCTGAAATGGAGTACATGATCTACGCGATTTTCCGTTCAAGATATTTTACAGTATCCATTGTACCATCAAGTTGTCATGACAACAGCGCTTTTATCACTGGAAATACCTTTATTGAGACGACAAAGAAATGCCACGTTTAACGTCCAGTTCGTAGGTGTAACAAAGCAGTCGCCAGGACTATGAATAAGACAAACTGATCGAAGCTACAGTATTCTTATACGAAGCCTTGACTACCTAGTTTAATAAACATTGCTCTGAATATGACATTTACAATTGCTACCAGTTTTAACTAATATTAACGCTAATGTATGGTGTTTGAATAATTATAATACATTTCATGCTGTAGCCGAGGCTGAAAGATTATAAAGAAAAATTATAACACGCTTAAAATTAACTACAAGTTTCTTTAGCAAAAATATGTCAATCTAAATATACTTTAAACAAACAATGGACCGGTCACTTGGTCAAAGTTGCTCGCGGACAACAATTGTCATATCTATTCTAATTAAAATTATTTCATAATTTGAACAGATTTTTACCTCAATTTTTGTCGTATAATTGTGGCGGATGTAACAGCGGCACCGCAGATAATTAAACCAGTAAATTATCATTTAAATTACCCTGCTGCCAGTAAGACTGGTATAGCTTTAAAATTATCACTCTCTTGAAAGGTGAAGTATTTTTAAAAGGTTAGGTGTGTTATATCCAAATCTTAAAGTCATATACAGTTAAATTATCTTATCACTGCCTATCTGCCACACCGATCACTTACGTTTGAGCGCTCGTGGTTTAGCTTGTTTTCGCCGAGACATGGCAGTTTGTTATGGCGATCAAAGTTCCGATACCTGGCGGCGAGAGCTCGATGAACGAGACGGTGGAAAGTGTTCGCTCAGATTTGTCTCTCCACAACGCAGAACACTAATCCTGTAAATTGGTACATACGTTTTCTAACAGCCACTTTCTCCTGTAAAATGCTCACCCAAAACCGCCGGAACTGGAGTCAACAAGAAAGCAAGGGCGTACGAAGTCTGGCGTGATGAGTGAGTGAGGGGCGGCGCAGGGTGGTATTCGATATAAACGGGGCTCCGGTTCGAGGCCTACGCTACGTCACGAAGACAAAGTCCCAGCGGGACTCGGCATCCCCGCAGGAAATGAGCGCACGCGTGCCGGCTGCAAGGTACGAGAGCACGCGGAAGGCGGCGGCAGGGGCTCTCAAGGATTTATACTGCGATCGAACGCGAGCCACCACACATACCACGTTCACTTTCCTAATCCTGAGCTAAATTTGTGGTAACATAAACACCGCGATTAAATTTGCTCTCTGAAATTCAGTGTTATACACATGCACGTACTCCTACAGTTTTGTAGTTTTAAGGCGCATAAAAAATAGGGTATGTCTAGCACTACTCTTTAGAATAATCTAACATCGATTACCATTCCATATTGCTCATTGCAATATTCAGATTTTTAACTTCCGGTCTTGCGCACTAATAGTCCCACTTTCCGAACTTTAATATCATTGGGTGATGACTGACAATATTCACAACGTATTGGTTGAGGGTGTTCTAACAATTAGCGTAAAATACTATCACTCCATAAGGCCCAGAGAAGAATAAAGTAAGAGATTAATGATATATAATTACTGTTATTCAATCCTTATGATATTATCTACTACAAATCAAGTATAAATAGATATAATTTAAATTTTATATTGAAAAATATAAATATAATATTTTGAGAAACAGATTCAAATATCGAAGTTCCTGAGCACTGCTTGGGTCAGTAATTATTATTATTATTATTTTAAATAAAATTTGCGAGATTTAGTTATTGAGATCTGAAAAATCACGAAGAACTCATGAGACATCTTAAATTATGTAATTTACAAATGAATTTGTTCTGGAAACGTATTACATTATACCACCACCTGGTGTTAGTGTCAGAAAGTTATCATAATACTGCTTCTATTTGGAATAGAAAAGTCTAATCGAATACTTAGCGCAGCGCATGTAGGAATTTATGTTGTATATTAATAATGTATTATAAAACAAATCTTGATCAAGAGAATTTGTTTGTTGTTAAGCACAAAGCTACACAATGGGCTATCTGTGCTGTGCCCACCACGGGTATCTAAAGACGGTTTTTCTGTGTTGTAAGCCTTCGGACTTACCACTGAACCACTGAGGAGGCCCAAAAAAACTATTAATTGGGTTTTTGCTTGGTTGTTGTTGAGCATAAAGTTACACAATGTGCTATATATATGTGTGTTCTGCCTACAACGGGTATCGAAATCCGAATTTTAGAGTCGTAAGCCTGCAGAGTTACCGCTGAGTCGCTTGTGGGCATCATGTAAGCAAGTAGGTTACACAGATAAAAAATTTTTCGGTTAGTTAAATAACTTTACATTATACTTTTTCAGTCCCAAGAAGCTTCTAAAATTGAAGACTGCGTTTTTAGAGGTTTTTCATGGACAAGAGCTATTTGAGAACGATTTCTGGACGCCACTTCGAGTTCAAGACGATGATTCACGTTGCATGCTGAGTCCTTCTTAGGGTCCTAAAACCGTTCCCAGGTCATCATTGTTAATAAAACTCTTCCAAAAGAATATATGCTGCCTGAAACTTCACTGTAAGTATATATAGCCTGTCTTGGTTCTTCTAGAAATATTTTACACTCATCGTCCAGCCACGTGGGCTAATAAGATTTGTTTTAAAACAAATTAATATATGTCACTGACCTGCTATCTTGTTACAAACACTTCAGAGGTGAAAAATGTTTTGACAAACTGTAACCTTCCTTCAAGAACATAGAAAATTTTACCCCTCTCTCTCTCTCTTAGTCTCGTGCTAAGTTAGAACGTGTTTTGTTATTCTGTAATCTGGCTTTAGCTGTTTTCCAAAAAATTTTGACAATATCTGATAAGTGTCAAAGTCTAGTTTATTCATTGTTATTTAATCTCAGTAACTTGTCCATGTTGATGCAGTTTCTAATTTTCGAAATTCCCGAGTTTATTTTTCAAGTATTTGATTACAGCACCACATACACACATAAAAATGATTAACGATCATTTTCATCTAGTGTTGCCTAGCGACGAGGTAAACAATGCAAATAGCATCGATATTTATGTGTATATACATTATTTAGGTATTTGTAATTGAGGTGAATCTACTAAGGCCACCGTCCCTAATTTTGAGCTTCTGAACAGTCAGTAAATAGCACCCTACCACCCACTAACCATGCTAAGGAATTGAATATCACTTTTATTACGTACCCATAGCTTGAAGTTTGGGGGGGGGGGATACTTTGTAGTATCACACGGATCCGAACAAGGCTCGTCATTTCCGAAATATAGAGCTGTAACACAGTGCAAAACTCGTGCCCTTATTATTTTGGTGTTTGAACAACATATCAGTGAGGTTCTACAAAAAAAAGCTTCTCTTTTAAGTTCTTGGAAATATCTAACGAGAAACTAGAATTATTTTTGACGTGATCTTAAAGTTCGTGATATGTTAATCATTTAAACTTGTATTAGTAAATAAACCTAATAAATAGTTTACCATAGCTGCTTTTCGTTTTTTGTAACTAGAAACTATACTGTCTTCAAGCAAAGTAACAAAAATATACTGTCTTCAAGCAAAGTAAAAAATATATACTGTCTTTAGGCAAAGTAAATGAAAAATATACTGTCTTTAGGCAAAGTAAAAAATATATACAATCTTTAGGCAGGGTAAAAATATATATACAATATTTAGGCAGGGTAAAAATATATATACTATCTTTAGGCAAAGTAAAAATATATATACTGTCTTTAGGCAAAGTAAAAATATATATACTATCTTTAGGCAAAGTAAAAAATATATACTGTCTTTAGGCAAAGTAAAAATATATATACTATCTTTAGGC